TTCATCATTATTTACCAACGAGTTGTTGTTTGAGTTGGGGGCAATGCGACTAAAACAGTAATTGAAATTCAGCACACTATTTTTTAAAACGCGTTGCTTTAAAAAAAATGACCAGACACATTCAATTTACCAGACTATTAAACAACAAGGAAAAGTGAAAAAAATACTTCTTATCGCCAGCATAAATGCGTAATTATTTGTTTTACAGAAAAAGTAATTTTTCACCTTTGGTTGAGTAATGTGTCGTAGAATGCAGATACGGGCATGCAAAATACACTTGTGAAAAGCTTGAAGTCTGGCGATTCTAAAAATATATACTTTCCTGGGTCTATTTGTAGTCATTTAGTCACAATTAGAAGATGAAAACAAGTATGCAAATAATAGTCCCGCTACCTTAACAAAATTTTTATATATTGAGATATATATATACAGAAGTCAGCAATTTTAGGTACCAATATGTTTCATTCCTTAAAAAAAAATTATAAACCCCAATGCTTTTTTTATTTGAAATCTGAATTCATTTTGAAATTTTGGATGCAATAAACATGATTTCTCTGTTTGCTGCAGGCCTTAATTACAGTCTGAAAACATATGGAAGAAATTATGTTGCAAAATAAGATGAAAGATGACTTTGGTGTTCAAAGAGTGATATGTGATATTTTGTTTGTAGGTACAAGGTACTAATGATAACAGCATTGTTAGTAAATGTTCCATGGCAACACAAGGATACTTCAAAGATGATTACCTGAAATTATTTGTCGGCAAATCCAGTAGAAGATCACCTTTAATTAATAGAGGATATTACATCCGGGCTAAAGCCGTAGATCATATTGTCAACAAGTACTTACAGTTGGAAAATGAAAAGAACAAACAGGTACAGTTTACATATATTATTGATCCAATTCATATGTTAGCTGCATAAGCATTCAAGGAAAATTCAAATTAAGTGTAGTATAATCTTATACACTTATTTGAAGAGCTGGTTAATATGAGTGATTGTCTTATGCTAGTATATGCATGAATAAAAAAAAGACGAGTCGATAATACAGCCCATAATGTGACAAGTTTCAGAAAGACTTCTCTAAGGGTCCTATTCCTCTAACCTAAACCCTAACACTTAGTCATCGCACCATATGCGCATAATCATTGATTTTCAGCCTGAAATTATCTGTTATAAAGTAGTACCATTGAGTGATTGAACACACATAAAATGATGATGTGTATTATTATGTTGCTATACGTCAGTGAATGATATGCTATGCACTATGCATATGAATTGTATATTTTGTAAATGATATTTATTTCTTTATAGATTGTTTCACTAGGTGCAGGATTTGATGCTGCCTATTTTCGTCTCAAACACTCTGGTTGCCTAAATAAGTGTGTTTATATCGAAGTGGATTTTGTTCATGTTGCTCAACGTAAATCAATAATCATTGAAAGCAAACATGAACTTTCAAGTTTGATTGATACCCCACTGCAAGCTGATCCAAGCAATGGTAAGTATTGCTACTGGATGGAGAAGTAGATAATATATACATGATCACCTGTATTCATACTGACATGTTGTTTCATACCTATTTCAAAGTTGTGTAAGATATGGTTATGCAATATAGATATCTACATACAATGATATGCAGTGAAGAGCCCATTCTGCATGGATGTCAGTCAAACTTATGAATTTTACAGTCATTTGCATGCTACTATCTTATGCAAAAAAAAAATAATAATATAATTGTTTTTGTGTGTTGTGCATATCACTTCCAAAGCCCATGATTGGAAGTTTTTTTGTTTGTTTTTTTGTCTTGATGCTTCATATATCAAAAAAGAAAAATATAATTTTTTAAAAACATTTTGGACCACGAACAGATCCTGTTTTGTGTTCATTCATTTGATACCACAAAAGTAATTTTGGTTCAATATTATAAGGATTGAAATATGTGAAAGTATTGGTTAAAAATGCTGCCTTTGTAATGCGATTTTGAGATCATATTACAATTTGTATGACTTCATATTCAAACTTCCATCACATATCACACTATAGTTATATACACTTATCTTTATAAATCTTTGCTTATATTACTCTAACTTACAGGGATTGTTCTGAAGTCTGAAAGTTACAACTTACTTGGCATCGACATGACCAAGTTGGATGAGTTATATTCTGCACTGGTGCTTTGTGGGATAGATTTCTCATTACCTACACTTCTATTATCAGAATGTGTCATAACTTATATGTCTGTATGTAGGTAAGGTATTTATTGTGGATTAAATCTGTCATCCTCGTGTGATGGGTATCTGAACAATCAAATTGCACAGATTCGTGTGGCAAGAGAAAACTTATTCATGGGGGGCATTTCTTATTGTTTATATATTTTAAATATCTTTTAAGACTAAAAATGAACTCTAACCAATGCTTTATTGTCATGTAATCAACTCCTTCTTGACAGATGTGTCCCTGCATATTTCAGTGTATTCTGTTTGCTATGTTGAATTTGAGATGCTGAAGACATCAGGTTACGAACATTGAGTTACGAAAACTATGAGTTACAAAAATGACCATGTCCATATTTTTGAAACCACGCCCACTTCTGTAATACTATGCTGAGATTGTAACTTGGTGTTCAATTAGCAGTTAACAGAACTTTGAGTTACGGGCAACATATAATTTTTGTTTTGTTTACGTTGTATATTTCCCATAATTCAAAGTTCGTTAAACTGATGATTTAAATTTTACAAATCTATCTTGCATGTAACTCGAAGTTCGTTTAACTATTATTTTGTTTGAGTTACTAAATGTGGACGTTTAACAAAAATGAAATTCTATGTTGCCTGTAACTCAAAGTTCTGTTATTGGTTAATTGGACATTTTACAATTTGGGCATGGTTTCACAAAATTGGGCGTGGTTTCTGAAATATGGGCACGATCATTTTTGTAACTCGATGTTATCGTAACTCAAAATAAGACAAAATAAAATCCCAAAATCTAGTTTAATAAATTTGTAGACTGTATAAATTTAAAAAATTGTATGCGACTATACAGGTGACTTAATTTGTTTCTGTTTTGTCAACGACGGTGAATTAACACATCTGTTTACATCCCAGCAAATTTGTTTGTGTCGGTGGCATATCATACCAGTTTAGTGGGTGCCCACTGGTTAAATCATGATGGGCAGGATGTTTTCTTATTTTTGTTTTTAATAGTTCCAATGCGTTGATTACTTGGGCTGCTAAGATGTTCCATAATTCCATCTTTGTTAACTATGAACAGGTTAGATGTGTATATTATTATCCATAGATGAATTTTTAGTAAGGTGCTTTTTTCAAAATTTTGAGTCAAGGAGATCCTAATTTGTATATATCCGGGTTTATTGACCTCAGCTGTCCAAATAGTAATGCACATCTTCATGAATGTAGTAGCAATTTTTATCAGACAGTAAAATGAAAACACTCAAATCTTTGAATGCCAGAAATTTTCCCGCCAAAATTCTTGTGTAACATTTTACACATTTTTATGTAATTTTCTGAAATTTCTTTTATAAATTTTGGACCAATTGGGAATAATTTTGCATTGGTTCAGACTGGGCATGATGATCAAAACAAATGATCCTTTGATTAATTTTCTTTAAATTCATTTAGAATTTTAGACCATATAATACATTTTCAAGTCTTGATCAAAATTTTGAAAAAATCAAAAAAACGTTATGCAGGTTTTAATTTATAAAAGATGACAAAAGTTAACTTTGACATTCAAAGTGTAAAAATCAAGTTTTAGAGAAGAAAATAAAAATAAAATACTGCTATGGAACTTGAACAAGATTTTGTACTCCTTATTAATGTACCGGTATGCAATTTTGAACATGGATACTAATTTGTTAGTGGTCGAATGAAGTGCTTTAACAATGACAAAGAAGACAAGACATTTTATGTCACATGGTTGTATTGTGAGATTTGAATTGAATACAGTGTATTGCATCGACTGTGGTGCTGTAATTATCAATACGAGCAAGGCAAATACCTGTCTTCAAGCAGATATTTTTCTCTAACAATGTTTCATGTAGATCTAGAATGCAATGTCATTAAATGGTTTCTTTCTACTTTTAGATTCTCCCAGATGATGCTTTTGGAATTGTCATGTGAGTATGATGTGTTGTACAATAATGCCCAATACTAGTAATATGAGGTTATTACAAGGATACCTTAAAGTATGCACGAAGACAGTACAACGGAAGTATATATCTCCTTTTCTCGTTTCTGCACGCATCATGTTGAACTATGCGCCTCGGACGTGTTTTTTTTCCTTCTAAAGCATTCCAAAATGAGCTTGTACTCGCGCTTGTCTGAAATTTCCCCCATTTTAGCTCAGTATTCAAAAAAAAGAAAAAAATCGCCTCGCCGCCTCATTTCGAAATTTCCATGAAACGAGAAACAGAGAATTGTTTTTTCTTGGCCTAACCTTATTCTACATCATCCATACACAACTACTTGTCGTATGAAGCCCAGAACTTAGTGAGATGGGGGAAATTAGGTGCTTTTTTTTTATCTGAACACATCTACCATCCTGAAATATTGTTTAATTGTTCCATATTCAAAATTTGCATTTCCTAATGCTGACACTCTGCGCAATACCACAAAATTACCCCACTCTGTAATCTCTGAAGATACTGTAACAGATGTACAATAATATACTCATAATATCTTCTGGATCAAACAAGATAATTACAAGAAGAAGCAATAACCACAATGTTTAAAGCAAAACAACATGTATATAATATTTATAATATTTTGTCTCAATTGCAGGCAGAATCATTTCAGATTACTAGGATCACCATTAAAAGCAATCCAGACTTATTCAACTACTGAGAAACAGCAACACAGATATGAGACTCTCGTGAGAATGATTTTAATTCTATATTACTAATTTGTCAAGTCTATAAATTAATTGATCTGCTTGCCCTTAGGGAAAAGTTATGGAGTGGCGCGTACATGCTGGGTTATAATGCTCTCCTGGGGTAAAAAGTTAGTGGTAGAGAGTTTTATCATAATTTGACTGCGTTACCATAAGGAATTAGCAGAAATAACATTATTGTTGCTACTACAAAAGGTTAAATTTAGCGACAGCGTTGCTATGGTAATTCAAGTTTCATCGCAAACAAATAGTCCTCATTCCAGCCATGACATGTCAGAGTCATATAACATATTAATAAATACATAATTGAATATAACTCTTAATTTCTAATGTTAATTTCTAGGGTTGGAATGTTGCTATGGTAACAGATATGAATGCCTTTTATTACAATGTGTTATCTTTATCCGAAAGGCAAAGAATTGAAAAATTAGAACTCTTTGATGAATTTGAGGCAAGGACATTCATTATTATTTTTGTTTTTCAAAATTATGAAACTGCAGGCTCCAATGCCATGTATTTTGCAGGTCATTTTTCACCTGTGATTTGTCTGTCAATTATGACTATTATGATAGACTCGCATTCATTATAGTGAGTCACTGATGAGTTTTTCCCACATTTTGTGGACATGAGAAAAATGTTTCAGTACTATAAGATGCACAAAGCTCAAACAAGAGAGAAATTGTGAAAATAAATGCTTAATTTTCTTTATTTGACAAATCACAGCCTAGGCCTGTGGTGTCTGACATTCGTACATTCAACACCTAATTTTTTTTATTAGTCCCCGTTCGGACGAAGTCCGAAAACGGAGACTTATAATTCGGTCTCCGTGCGTCTGTGCATCCATGCGTCCGTCCGGAGTCATATCTCAGAATCCCTTGGACCGATTCTGTTCATTCTTTGCATGTGCCTAGTGCTTTATGTGGGACATATGCACATGCAGTGGTTTAGCGATTCAATTCAAAATGGCCGCCTGGCAGCCATCTTGTTTATTGAAAATGTTGTATTTTGGACATGCTTTGTCAGTTTTCATTCAAACTTGGTACATAGATTATATATGTTAGGATACATGTCTATGACAATATATTTCACAATAAGATCAAAGATGGCCAACTGGCAGCCATCTTGTTTTTTGAAAATGTCGTATTTTGGACATGCTTTGTCAGTTTTCATTCAAATTTAGTACATAGATCATACATGTTAGGATACATGTCCCTGACCGTCCGTGAGTTCCTTTGTCTGTCCTTCCGTCCGTCCCTGCGTCAATCTGTCCAGAGTCATATTTCAGAATCCTGTGGACCGATTCTGTTCATTCTTTGCATGTGCCTAGTACCTTATGTTGGACATATGCACATGCAGTGGCTTAGCTATTCGATTCAAAATGGCCGACTGGCAGCCATCTTGTTTTTTGAAAATGTTGTATTATGGACATGCTTTGTCAGTTGTCATTCAAATTTGGTACATAGAATATACATGTTAGGATGCATGTCCATGGCAATTTGTTTCAAAATCTGTCAAGGGTGGCCGATTGACAGCCATCTGACTTTTTGGCCTTACTACATTACTACTATATTTCCACAATTTATGTACCATTTTCATTTGTATTTGGCACATACATATCAGTGTGTTTCATAATCAGATCAAAGATGGCCGAATAACGGCTGTTTTTATTTTTGGCCATATTACTACTACACGGAACACATGTTTTGATGTAAATAAACAATCTGTTGTATATGCCACTTAGAACTCAAGTTTCAAGGACACGCTCGCGACAATCCGCTTTATTATGCCGAGCACAAAGAGAACTTTCAAAAATTTAACGGGGACTGTGTCATTTTCAATGACTTGTTCATTTATTTTTGTTTCTATGGTGATAGGAATGGCATCTGAAGTGTGCCCATTATGTTGTAGTTTGTTCATACCAAGGGTCTATGCGAAGATTATCCCATGAAGTAATGCCAGTCTCTATGAGTAAGTACCATTAATGATTTATGATATAAGGGGATGCAAATTTTATATCTAAGATCTCATTCTGTGCACAGCAATCAAAAATACTTCTGACCAGTTGCATCACAGAATGCTGTGATAAATTGGAAAGATTTGACTGTGTAGACAGGAATAAAATGTATTCAAAACGTGATACACAATAATACACCTGGAGTATGGAAGGACACTAGCAAAACAAGCCACAAGACGAGAACAAATCATTCTTCACATTTATTCATTCTCGCTCCAGGGAAAATTGAAACAAATTTATGCGATGACTCGATTTTAATTTTTTCGTAATAAAATTATTTAATACTGTCGGGAGATTCATTTGATTTATCAATCTTTATTCATAACCATATGTTTTCTTCGCATTTCATTTTTTACGTCAGATAGTATGGTTGGTATCATCGATGTCCTGGGTGGCTCCAACTTTGAGAAAGTCATTAGTATTTGTCACTGCTTGATGATACATGGCATAAAATGTTCAAATGCTGTAAAATACTTTATTTTAGTTGGAATTAATTTTCCCTGAAAAGACTCTTTGGGTGTTTTTGTATGAAATTTATTTTCCCCCTGATTTTCGACAAGTTGAATGTAAAATATAGGAAAAAGGTATATTCGCTGGATTTTATTTTCACTGAATCATTCCTTCAGCGAAAATAGCGAAAATTATTTCCAAGCGAAAATAAAGTATTTTACAGTATCTTATTCTTACGTATCACTCAAATAAATTCATCTATAGATGGTTCTTGTAGTTTGAGCTCATTAAAATTGAACTGTTTTCCCCCTTCCCCTAAAATATCCGAATTGACACTGTGTCAAATCATTTACTACGACCTATAGCTCAACTATATTTGCATTTTTAAATATGTTACTAGTAATGTATGCATTCAAAATATAATCTAAAAACATTTGATTGAACATCTGGAGTGATTTCACTCTACTGTGATTTGGTGGTTGCAGTTGAAAAGATAGACTGGCAGAGTCGGAGCTTCTTTATAATATAATTAAAGGACGGCAGTCGTCGTGCCGTGTCCTGTTCGATATGGGACTCAGCGACGTATACAACACATGTAAAATACATTGTTTATTTACATGAAATTCGAACACGCGCTACGTGACTACCACCACGCTATAATTTAGCTTTTTTAGCATGATCACGAAAACTAGTGTGACAGCGAAAAGAATTCTTTTGCGGTCACGCAATCACGCTAAAAGGACTTACAACAATTGATTATTTCTGCCAGTCAATTGAAGTGAATCAGTCGTGTTGTACTAATTTATCATGCTGATTTCATCAAAATGTTTTTCTGATAGAATCAATACATGCCGAAAGTAAAGACAGGCTACATTGGAAAGAATTTGAAAAATCTTATTATATTAGAAGATTCGGGCATGAATGTTGTCGACTTGAAACTGGTGAAGTGTTGGTTTTTGGTGGATTTGGTGAGGTTAATGGCCAACATGCCAGGCTTAGTAATGTTAGTTTACTAGACACTGCAACAAACACACTTCATACAGTGAAACCAGCACATAGTGCAATAGGTATGTATTGGTGAATGCAGCTTGCCTGTGAGCTACTTGGATGGTCTGATATCTGGCTGTCCATCTCACTTTTATTTAAATTTGATGTGCAGGTGTTTTTTTCTGTAAATAGCTGGAATGCTCCATCAATTAATATAATTAATTTAAAATGAATGTACAAAAAATGTCAACAATTGGCAATGAAAGCATTTTCTTTTGTTTGAAATGAAAAGCATAGGTTTTCCAGATTAAATAAATATTTTATAAATTTTTATAAATTTCCATAAATGAAGTGTATCAATTGATTTTGAATTACTTACAGACACTATTTCTTTTTTTGATCAGGTGCTAGGATGTTTCATTCCATTTGCCATTTGGCACAAAACAAGGTGTTATTACTTGGTGGCAGAACGTCCCCTTCTAAACCATGCAAGCACATAGAAGTACTGAGTTTGCAAAAAGATGAAGATGCCAACTGGTTTTATGAGTATCACGAAATAGAGTGCTCAGGTGATCTACCAAATCCAAGATGGCGACATAGTGCAGATAAGGTTGTCATGGACAACCGTGAATACATTGTTGTGTTTGGAGGAAGAACAGCTGATAAGTTGTCTATGGAGAATTGTTACTTGTTGGATGTGAATTCCTGGGTTTGGTACATGGTATCGGTATGTCACTGACATTAAATCTATGTGAACATGTAGAATAACAATAGAACTCATTGTTTCTCTGCCAAGTTTGGGAAATTGCTCAAAACATCAAAATAGTGAAGTTAAATGCCAATAAATATAAATTTACAGTATAAAGCCTAAAAAAAATTTATGTTTCTCATAATAATACACATCACTTCTGAAAAGATTTAAAGAAAAATTAAATATTCATGAAAAATATAAATCAAAAGCACAATTTTACTGGTAATGACAATTTTAAAATGAGTTTGGAAAACAAATTGACCAGAAAATGTTTTCTTTTTATATTCTGGACTTAATTAGTTTAATTTTATCAAACCAATCTGATTAAAATCAGATCTTATTTGGCTTTTTTTCTTTCTATTCTTTTGATTATTAATTTTGTTATATTTTAAATTCATTTTTATAGTTCTGTTTTTTTTAAATTTTCGGACTGCAAATGTCCAAAGATTTGAACAATCTCCATAGAAGATCTTGTTAGTGAGATCTCAAATAACCAGATTAGTCAACCAATCATAGATTTTGTATAAAGTGATTATGCCATTTTTGTGCAATGGCTCTGTATAAAGCCTTCTCTGATTTGTTATTGAAGCTTGTGGTATATCTCCCGATCTGACAATTCCAAAAAATTAAAATTAGCAAAACCAAAAAAAAAGGAATAATTGAAATTAAAAAAAGGAAAAAAATTTGATTTTAATCAGATTATCACCAATCTATCTTAATTTGATTATTGCAATTCCCTGTAAAATCATTCCAGTTAGAGGGCAGAGTGAGTCCAGTACCACTGGGAATTAACGTATGCTATTCCATTTCTAGATTAGCTCCGATAGTTCAGTACCACAGGGAAGACATTCCCATTCATCAGTTTCTTGGAACCATAATAAGATTATAATATCTGGTGGCTTAAGTAGTGAATTGAAAGCTTTCAATGATCTGTATCTTCTACACTGTGAGAAGCCGCTGGAGTGTAGATGGCAAAAATTACAGCTGGAACCAGAAATGGAACCCAGGTAAGAGTCACGGCTTACTGTATTTGCATAATTGAGTGTCTATATATGTCATATTTTAATAATTCAGTATACAATATACTCAATTTTGGTTAATGTTAACTTCTTTTATATACCCCCGGTACATTTCATTATCAGTACTATCGGTATACAATGTATTTTCATTGTGTATTCACAATAGAAACACATGTACTGTAGAATACTTTATTTTACCTTAGAATTTTTTTTATTTTCGCTGAATGAATAATTGAAAATAAATTCCATCTATTTATAACACTAAATCCCAAACATTGCCAATTACATGTGGAGTACCCCAAGGTTCCATTCTAGGGCCCATACTATTTTTGTTATATATAAATGACATACCACAATCCACTGACCATTTTAACTTCAGATTATATGCTGACGACTCCAATATTTTTCACACAGTTCAAAACAAATCTAACCAAATCAACATAAACGCTCTGAATTGTGAATTCCAAAAGGTGGTAATGTGGTGTGATGCAAACAAACTTACTATCAATTCTGATAAAACAAATTACATGTCTATTGCCAATACACATAAAAAAATCAAAACTGAGGGTCAATTCAATCTTAAAGGTGACCAATTAAGTGAAACCTGTAGTATTAATTACATCGGAATAACGATGGATAAACATCTGACATGGAAAAATCATATATCACTAGTAAAGAAAAAAATCAGTAAATTAGCAGGTATATTTATCATGCTCAGATTTTTAGTTCCACGGACAGTATTAATAATGTTATACAACACATTTATCTTCCCCACATTT